GCTTTGGCTAACAGTTCTTGCTCCTGTCACGGTCTCCTGCTTTTGTAGCCCATCCGCCTCAAGGCTCAGGATGTTGTGAGTTCTGAGAAGCTTTTCTGCTCACCACAGTTGTACAAAGTGGTTATTTGAGTTACCGTAGCCTCTCTGTCAGTAAGTCTGGCCATTCTCCTGTGATCTCTGTCATCAACAAGTTGTTTCTGTCCACAGAGTTGCCACTAACAGGATATTTTTTGTTTTTTTGCACCATTCTGAGTAAACTCTGTTGTGCGTGAAAATTCCAGGAGTTACAGAAATAATCAAACCAGCCCATCTGACACCAACAATCATGCCACAGTCAAAATCACTAAGGTAATTTTTTTCCTCATTCTGATGTTTTATGCGAACATTAACTGAAGGTTTGGCCCGTGGAGACAAACAAATATTCTGTCGCTGTAAGGCTTGTTCTTTCCTTAAGGACTGACGCACATGATCCTCAGCTGTGTATCAGTGTGCTGTTATTTATGGTAAACAAACAGGCGACACTGCCCTATATGTGCCTCAGCATTTTTTAACGGAAATAGCTGGTGAAAGACTCAGCTCAGTCTAGATCGAAAAGGGCACAAATCCAAAAGTTACACAAAACCCATGTGGACCCCTAGGCGAGCGTCATGGCACTGCCTTCCCAGAATGTACCGCTGCTGAAAAGTTAAAAAGGGGCACTTGGTACCTTTAAAAAGAGGCACTTTAAATAGCTTGGGCACCTGCCCCCCCACTGGCACCCCCACACATGCCGGCTCTAGTGCATTTTGAAACAGTACAAGAAAAACAAACAAGTCACCTTTTGATTCCCAGACAATGTAAAGATCTCAGAAAAAAAGGGGAATGAAGAATGTCTCATTCCATTGTGTTGTCTGAGTATGTCTGCTTGTCCTACAAACATCTCTTAATGCCCCAGCAGGGACCTACAGAGTCGGCATTATCACGATGGTGTCCACAAGATGTGTTTACTCAGCATCAAGGTACCACCATCCCAGGTGAAGACCTCCATGTTAGCACCAAAGGGACATGACCATAGTTACATAACCATATTATTCTTAGCATTTAACTCCTCAGCTCCTTTATAGAGTGAATCCAACCCATACTGTGCACAATATGCACAAATGACTGCTATTAATTAGCCTGGGTTTGTGCTGCATTAACTGGGAGATACCAGGCTCTGGTGGATCCCCCAAATGTCAGATGTGAGATGTCCCTCAGCTTTACTGACCAGGAAGGTCATCTGGCGGCACGCCTGGCAGGCGGAGCAGCGGAGGAGGAACGGAGCTGTTGGCTGTTCACACCAGAGTGCCTGTAGTTGCATGCTCCGTGACGAGGGGGGAACGCAGCTGTGAGACAGCACCCAATTACGTGGGAGGGATTTCATTTTACTCCATTCCACTGTTCAAGCGATTTCATTTTCAAGCCATTTTAACTTGGCCCAATATATCATGCATGCTTGTCTCCGGTCGTATTTATTTATTATTAGCTTCACTATACTTGGCTGTATGTGTGATATCACAAACCCAGTGATATATAAACTTTTATATATATGGCTTATCACTCCTGAAGATGTTTTGTTCTATATAAACGCCCACAAGTCTCATATCCAGAGAAGTCATGGTTTTAAGGCAAAGAAGCACACTTTCAGAATATATCAGTGTACAAACACTACAGCCCAATTGCCTATAATGCTAGTGCAGAAGAACGATGCAGAACACTACCAATGTACGATCAAATATCAAAATTCAAGTGCATGTAAACTGTTTCTTTGGTTGGGACCAGTGGAGGTTCTAGACCAGGGGTGGGGAATCTTATCCAGATAGGGCCACTGTGTTTGTGGGTTTTCGCTGCAACTCCCTAATTAGATTACTAATTAGAGGACTGACTGGATGAAGAGCCCTCACACCTGGGTTGGAACACCTGAGCTAAAGGTTATCCCAAAAACCTGCATACACACCGGACCTTTGTGCATAAGATTGCCCACCCTTGTTCTAGACCATTTCAATTGGGGCAGCTAGACTGGGGCTAGTTGTTCTGTTGTGGAGGGGGGAAGGGGCATTTGACCTTATTGTCTCCCTAGTATTACTTACACTAGATTGCCAGCATTAAGAAGCAAAAGACAATTCTGAAAACCGTAACTTAATTTTGAAAACGTTAACATTTTACAGTTTTTACAAATATGTAACTCACTCTGATTTCTTGTGTAGACTGTTATGTTTCCATAAGCTTCATTATTTCTTTCTGACCTTCCTTAACTTTATTTTTCACCAACTGCAGCGACTCGGCTATACAGTTCCGCCGTGACAACATGCATGCACCCCCCCAATATTATTATTTACATTTTATATGTGTCGGCTAAAATTTTGTGGGCTGGGAAGGGGCGAAACACAAAAGCAAGCACGTTTTCGTGCGGACGCTTAACGCGGATGCGGCGGATGAACTGTAGCCTGCATACACTTGAACTTTGAACTGGATCATGGTATTCAAAATCAGAAACTAGCTATGAAATTATTGCAGGCCCTTACGTACTTACGAACGGACTGTCATAAAGCCTATTACATTAAAAAGTCCGTTTAAATACACTGATTTGTAATAATGGACGCGAACACAACTTTGTGACGCTCATGAAAACAGCGGTTCGTCGGCTCCAGGTACAGTACCGAATGTAGTTAATATAATTATTACTGTATAATTATATACTGTATTATTATTTTTCCGACTTACCTACAAATTCGCCTTAAAGACAGGCTTAGGGGACGGATCTCTGTATTTATGTAATATCTTAACAGACGATATGTAGAATTCAATGTTTATGAAATAAATGTAAATATCTCATAATATTTTCAAGATCATAATTTTCATAGTCTTTTTAATGATTAGTTTACCTACGTTTGGTAAATCCGTTCAAATCCGTTTAACTGATAAGTTTAATAACGTGCTGGAGCAGTGTGGTTCACAAAATAAATTTCTTCTTTTGCTTCATGGGATTAACAGGATTAAGATGTCTATCCATCCATTTTCTGAAACCGCTTATGCTGTTCAGGGTGGCGGAGGGTCCGGAGCCAAGGATGAGGCGCCAGCCCATGGCAGCGCACACTCACACCATTCAAGATCAGGATGAGTGTGTTTCAAATAAAGATATAAAAATACCACTTCACGCTTGCTGGGGTTGTCATGGATACCGAATGGAAAGGACCGCCCAGACTCGGAGGTGAGAGCGCGAGGCAAGTGGATGGTCCTGATACTGCGGGTTTCAGTCCACATGCGGGGAGGGCGGGGCCTGCCGGTGTCACGTGCACAGAGGACGGCGGAGGGAGGGGTGCAGAAGAACGGTGGAAGGTTCGGGGACGCAGGATGAAAGCTGAGAAATGACCGCATCCGCAAAGACCCGGCGAGAAAAATTCTTAAAATGCAACCGGCAATATTGATAAAAACAAAACAATATTATAGTTATTTAGAGAAAAAGAATATGCTGTAATAAATGACCAGATCCCCTCAAAAGGTAATTTTCTTTCCGTTCATGTTTCATTTGCACGTCTTGTCCAGTTTAAGAACAGAGTGTTTCATTCGATCGTTCAGTCTTCACCACGCAATAATGAAAAAGCGTCAAGTCACGGTGTTTCTCCCGGCCTGTGTAACGAGGCATCATATAATTACGCAAATGAAAACGATTATTCATTTTTTTACCGTTCATGAGTGAAACTGAATCATCTTCAAGGAAATAAAGATTAATATATAGAAAATTATTTATAGTTCGTGATCTATGCTGAATTTTTCATTAGAGTATTGAAGGAAACATTCAGCTGAGAACTGAAGACACGCAGTGGTGAACAAATAAGTACAATACCAGTAAAACACATGAATGTTTCTTAGCATTCTGCTGCCTGGAAGAGCGTGGGGTTTACCTTATGACAGTCTGGGCCGCTGCATGCTTTTACCATCATATATATCACCGTTAACGTTACTGTATTCGGGTGTGGCCGGCCGTCTTTGTTATACAGTCGATTGGCGTACAATTTATAACATCTTAGTATCTTCTTGGTAGAGTTGGCGTTAAAACTTATATATTTGCAAAAATTATCTTCTACCATGTGGCCAAACCTTAAAAATTTACAAAAACTCACATGATCAGTTTGGTTCTGTATTTATGATTCCGTTTAATGCCGGGCTTGAGTATTGTTCTAAACAGTTCCTTGAGGTGGGGATAAACAGGCACTGGTACTCACCTTGTTACTCAGTACCAGGTGCAGGTACTCACCTTGGTACTCAGTACCAGGTGCCAGTATTCGCCTTGTTACTCAGTACTGCGTGCCAGTACTCACCTTGTTATTCAGTACCAGGTGATGGTACTCCCACTGTTATTCAGTACCAGCAGATACTGAGAGGTGTTGGTACTCTGAAAAGAATAACAAAGAGGTGCCGGTACTGTGTGCCGGTGAGTACTGGCCCACTTCAAGCACTAGTTCTAAGTGTGTAATGGAATGAACATTTTTGAGTGACATTAATAACAACCTTTTTCAGTGGACAGAGAATGATGTCATCCTCAGGGTTGGTCACCCCTAGTGACCCCCTCCTGGCCAGTCCAGGGGGGGGACTGGACCCAGCGTCCGATGGAGCCTGGAGGGGATCTGTGCCCAAGACCTCCAGCTTCCAGTCATCCACCACTCGCCACCTTAGCCACCGCGCCAACAACTTCCAGAGACACCCTAAGCGGCGGAAGCTCATCCGGCCATCACCGCCACCCCCCCCGAACACGCCATGCCCCCTCGAGCACTTGGACCTCAACGAGTTGCCTCCACGCCGTACCTTCCTGGAGCTTCTCTGCAACGGCTGCATCCTCTTTGGCATCGAGTTCAGCTATGCCATGGAGACGGCATACGTTACCCCAGTCCTCTTGCAGATGGGCCTCCCTGACCAGTTTTACAGCCTGGTCTGGTTCATCAGCCCCATATTAGGTAAACTGGACTCAGAGGCTCCCAGTTATCCTCTCGATACACCACTGCCTCTAAATAGTCTGATCTCTTGTAGGGTTTCTGGTCCAGCCTGTCCTTGGGGCCTGGAGTGACCGCTGCACATCTCGCTTTGGCCGTCGACGGCCATTCATTCTGGTTTTGGCAATAGGTGAGGACCGTTCAACACTGAGGAGCAGACCTTCATTAGCTTGGTCAGCTTTAGGAATGAAGATTTTTACTAATTATTACATTTGACATCAATTTATTTATTAAGCAGGCACTTTTGTCCAAAGCAACATAGAAGTGAGGAAAGTATGGTGTCAGATGGTTACTCCGCTGGCCATGGGATTTGAAGCTACAACCTTCTGGATGCAGACAAGGATATTTTAACCTAAGCTATTACAGAGTATTTGTTTAAATATCCTGTATGTGTTCTTTTTAATCCATCAATCCATCCTGTGTTACAATAACTGTTATTGTAGCAGTTGAACATCTCTGTTGCTCACCTTCAGGGGCCCTGATTGGTTTAACCTTGGTGCTGAATGGGCAGGACATTGGATCCGCATGGGCCGACACAGCAGACAATCACAAGTGGGGCATCGTGCTGACCGTGTGTGGGGTGGTCCTGATGGACTTCAGCGCTGACTCTGCTGACAATCCCAGCCACGCCTACATGATGGATGTGTGCAGTCCTGAGGATCAGGACCGTGGACTCAACATACATGCTCTCCTGGCAGGTAACGTGAGGCATTTCAAAAATGACCATATACCTCCTTGAAACTGGTGCTGGCTTGGTCATTGTTTCGACGGTTGTTGTAAGTATACTGTGCCCTGTGCTTCCTCATTTTCACAGGACTAGGTGGTGGTTTTGGCTACATTGTTGGCGGAATTAACTGGGACCATACGGGGTTCGGGAGGTCGCTGGGAGGTCAACTGAGGGTCATCTACCTTTTCACTAGTGTGACCCTTGTTGTCGCCACGGCGATGACCCTGACCAGTATCACAGAGCGACCCCTGGCACAGACGCAGCCCTCAAAGAATGCCAGGAATACCCTAAAAAGTCCCAACCTGCCCCTCCCTCCATCACCTCCCGCTGCCCCTGGGGCAGGCAGGGAGGAAGACGAAGAGGAGGAAGGGGACAGGCAAGGAGACAGATTCCAAAGCTACATCCTGGGCCAGCCGGACCCCTTGGTTGGGTTACACCTTTGTGCCAGTCTCACCAGTCCCATTTCCCCACCAAGCCCCCTCACTCCGAAGTACGGCAGCTTCATCAGCCGTGACAGTTCTCTGACGGGCATCAACGAGTTTGCATCCTCTCTAGGGACGTCCTACATCGACAGCGTCCTCATCGATTGCTACACGGGCCAGCAGACCCCACAGGTTCCGGACTTGGGTGATGCCGTGCGGGCGCTGCCCCCCAGTGATACCCAACCCCTGCATGGCCCACCTCGGGCCATGGCCCCGGGCATCTTGAAGCGACCCCAGAGCCTGGCAATCCAGGCAGACAGCTCTGTGGCCCCCAGCGCGGCCACAGAGAATGGATGCCGACGAACTGTCACCTTCAGCCAGCAGGTTTGTGCGGAGGCGGGTGATTCATGGACGCAGGCTTCAGGAGCTATGGACCAGGAAAAAAAATTTCCTTGGGTATCCCACCATTAGCAACAGAAAGGGGCGGTAAGGGTTAAGTGTAGCTAAAGGTTGAGGGTTAAAATCCCATTACAGCTTTGATGTTGTACCTTTCATGGAGGTCTGCAGAGCAGCTAACATCAACTATTTTATCATAAACATCTTTCTGTAATTAAATGCACATTGTCAGCTGGATCATTGCATCACTAAAAACATAACCTGACTTGGGCAAATGTAACTTCGTGAACCAATTGCTGTATTTTCTGACACCACTAGATGGTGCTCTCTGTTCAAAAAAGGACTCAATTCATGCCCCAAAGCAAACTAAGACCGCCATATAGTGGGGTAAAAAATACAGAAAACGGTGCATGAAGCTTCATTTGGCCATCACTTCTTGAGAGCATGTAGCATGGTTTTGTCTCACTCTGGTTCCCCCACCCACACAGGTGGCAAACATACTCCTGGATGGGATGCGATATGACAGTGACCTGAGTGAGGCTACGGACACCACCGACACTCAACTCTCCATGAAGCTGCTCTGTGTCGCCATCTACAGGATGCCCCCATCGCTGCGCAGTCTCTGCACCAACCACTTTTTGGGTTAGCATGGAAAATGAAATCGTGTGAATGCGTAGTGTATCTGAAGATTCTTGTGGAAGGGAATCTGAGTGTGTGTTTGTCTGCATGCCTGCAGGCTGGCTTTCCTTCGAGGGAATGCTGCTGTTCTACACGGACTTCATGGGGGAGGCCGTGTTTGGGGGGGACCCCAAAGCCCCCCAAGGTTCTGAGGCCTACAGGCTGTACAACACTGGGGTCACCATGGGCTGCTGGGGGATGTGCATCTATGCATTCAGTGCTGCTTTCTATTCAGGTAAGCTCCACACACACACAACGCTCACAGAAAGTCTTGGCTCGCTTGCTAATTCTGTAATAATGTTGCAAATTTTTTGGCTTCATAACAAACGTCTGTTGACAAGCAGTGTTTAACATATCTGCGCATACAGCTCCAGGAAAAAAATGAGATACCACTCTATATTTAATAAGAATCTGCATTTTTAAATCCTGCTTTAATCCCGGTTCTGCTGGCAGGAGGCTACGCTGAGCAGCAGGTTGCGTCCAGGCTCAGTGTTTCTAAGACAGCAGAACAGAAGAACCAGGTGAAGCAGGACACACTAGCAATGACCAAAAACCAGCCAGATAGAGGGCAGAAGTGACTTTCTAATGCCAGAGATGACCGTTAACTTATTCGACAGTTTCTCATAAATCGGACGATGAACCAAGAGACGGGCTGTTCGGTCCCTGTATGACCGGTGCCAGAGTCTGGTCCGCATGAGCGGCAATAAGTCTGACTTGTTTCCGGTGAGGGTTGGACTCCGTCAGGGCTGTCCTTTGTCACCGATTCTGTTCATAACTTTTATGGACAGAATTTCTAGGCGCAGCCAGGGCGTTGAGGGTGTCCGGTTTGGTGACCTCAGGATTAGGTCTCTGCTTTTTGCAGATGATGTGGTCCTGTTGGCCTCATCAGACCGTGACCTTCGGCTCTCGCTGGGACAGTTCGCAGCCGAGTGTGAAGCGGCTGGGATGAGAATCAGCACCTCCAAATCCGAGACCATGGTCCTCAGCCGGAAAAGGGTAGAATGCTCTCTCCGGGTCGGGGATGGGATCCTTCCCCAAGTGGAGGAGTTTAAGTATCTCGGGGTCTTGTTCACGAGTGGGGGGACGATGGAGCGGGAGGTCGACAGGCGGATCGGTGCGGCGTCCGCAGTGATGCGGGCGCTGCATCGGTCTGTCATGGTGAAGAAGGAGCTGAGCCAAAAGGTGAAGCTCTCGATTTACCAGTCGATCTACGTTCCTACCCTCACCTATGGTCACGAGCTGTGGGTAGTGACCGAAAGAACGAGATCGCGAGTGCAAGCGGCCGAAATGAGTTTCCTCCGCAGGGTGGCTGGGCTCTCCCTTAGAGATAGGGTGAGGAGCTCGGTCATTCGGGAGGGACTCAGAGTAGAGCCGCTGCTCCTCCGCATTGAGAGGAGTCAGATGAGGTGGCTCGGGCATCTGATTAGGATGCCTCCTGGGCGCCTCCCTGGTGAGGTGTTCCGGGCATGTCCCACTGGGAGGAGGCCCCGGGGAAGACCCAGGACACGCTGGAGGGACTATGTCTCTCGGCTGGCCTGGGAACGCCTCGGGATTCCCCCAGAGGAGCTGGAGGAAGTGGCCGGGGAGAGGGAAGTCTGGGTTTCCCTGCTGAGACTGCTGCCCCCGCGACCCGACCTCGGATAAGCGGGAGAAAATGGATGGATGGATGGATGAACCAAGAGACCTTCAAAGGGAATGGGAAACATTAAGTGCAGGTGTGAAGTGCACTGCTAGAACAGTATCTGGCCCCTGGAAACTGGACTGGCCCACAAAGTCCCATAAAGCAAGGAAGAAGCCCTTCATTAATGAGAAACAGGGAAGAGCCAGGCTGCAGTTTGCGCGTGTGTGTGTGTATATATATATATATATATATTATTCACAGACGTGCACCCATAAGTAGAGAAATAAGTGACACAAAAAATCGTGCTGTGGTCTCTTCATTTTTTCCAGAGCTGTATGTTCTGCACAGACGTTTTCTTTTTATTGTCATAATTTTTTTGACTGAATCACTCATGTCCGTTCTTGCTATTAATTGCAATTGTATTCACTGCCTCCCAAAGGGATAATAAAGACAAATATTTGTTTTTTTTATTTTTGCAAAGGTGTCACTGATTAAAAAGCACCCAATGATTCTTGTCAATTAACTTTTTAACAACTTTTTTACAACTATAATTTGGGTTTAAATTTTTTAGTACTTGAAGCGAATCTTTTACTTTAAAACTTTCAGCTATTTTGAATGTGATATACATCTTTGTAAATAAATGATTGAAGTAATAATTCTTGTTATGAAACCAATAAATTGATATATTACTATTTTTGCTGAATTACGCAAGTATCCCAAGACTTTCTGTGAACACTGTACCCACATGATGTACATGATTGTACCCAAGTATTGGGACACCTCCCTCCTCCCAGTCAAGAAATATGGATGGTTTGAAATATACAAATATTTACCAGTGAAGACAGTAGCATCAGAAGTACCATCTCAGTGTGGATTTCAGTAGCACCATCCCAGGTTCTCCAGCAGCAGGTCGTGTCCGTCTGTGGCTTGCAGACCGGAATTCCTCTGAGCTGTGTTTCCATGTGTTCCCGCTGCAGCCATTCTGGAGAAGCTGGAGGAGAGGTTCTCGCTGAGATCACTCTATTTCTTTGCCTACCTGGCGTTCGGGCTCGGCACAGGCTTGGCCACGCTGTCTACCAACCTCTACGTGGTGCTGTCCCTGTGCGTCACCTACGGTGTCCTTTTCTCGTCCCTCTGCACGCTGCCC